TATGTCCTGTATGTTATCTGGCTTTCTATGAGTGCTTCTTGCTCCTTTGCCACGTGTCAACTAGCTTGCAGCCAGCTGGTTCTCTTATTGCTTGTTCCTCCTTTATGATCACTGGGGATGACCTGGGTGCCACTGCACAGTACTCCTTTCATCTGCTTTTCCAGTGTCGAATGGATCCACAGAGGAGCATCTAGTACCCTAGACAGAGAGCCAAAGAACTGATATGGGGTAGTTTGCGGTATCGAGTGTATATGATCTGTACTATCGCCGTCTCTGTCACAGTAATTCCATGGTAGCACCATTTCTTTATAATGCCAAGTTGAGTAGTTCGGGTAATTAATTGGTTAGACTGCTCAGCTTGGATAAGAGAGTTGTACTACTACTGATAAAGACTGCCATTTAATGGTAATTTTTACCGGACATTTTGGCAGAGCTCAGTAGCAAGTCAGCTTCATTTCTTATCTCTAGAAACAGAGGACAAGAAGTTTGATCATTTCCCCTAGTTCCTAGGGAGAATTTTGCCCATTGGAAAAGGTGGCGTGTTGCAGGGTGCACTGGCATAGCCGTAGGGGGAGAGCATGCCCAGCACCATGTCCACGCGGTGCCAAGTTGAAGGGAGCACTTTGTCCTTCGGTTTCTTGAGGATGAGACAAGTGCAGTGCATGCTGATTCTACCATGGTTTTAAAACTTCTAAAGCAAAAAAACCTCACAGTTTCCATTTGATAGGTTTTATCTTCAATTTAAAAAGGCATCAAACTTCCTGTAAATGTACCTAACCATTTGTACAAAGCTGTACTGTATGTGGGAGTGGAAATTTCTTCTTAAACCCTTCAGGCAGTCTTATGCCAGGAAGTAAAATTATCATACTCTGTGTTTCTAGCTGGCAATAGTATTCTTAATTGTTAACCATTCCAGTTCTTTTTTTAAAAAATTCCGCTATAAAATTTGGCTCAGTGGAGCAGTGAATTCCACAGGTTGACTGTAAACAACATGAAGTACTACAGTATTACCTTGTATTTGTTTTCAGTTAATTGCTTTAGTTTCACCTGGTGACTCCTTGCTTTCATATTATATGAGAAGATAAAAAGAGAAAATGATTAAGAGGTTCATGTGTGTGGAAGTTTCTCTAAAATCACATGTATTCTCTGGGCCACTTTCTAAATACACCTCTACCTCAATATAACGCTGTCCTCTAGAGCCAAAAAATCTTACCGCGTTATAGGTGAAACCACATTATATCGAACTTGCTTTGATCCACCGGAGTGTGCAGCCCCGCCCCCCCGGAGCACTGCTTTACTGTGTTATATCGGGCTAGAGGTGTACCTACTTAGAGCCATCTTAGGCTTTTCTGCAGGATCCATCAGGAAGTATTTGTTTAGTTTTTATAAAGAGTAAGAAAAGAGCCTAACAATTCACCAGCTTATCTTAACATTATTAATGAAGGGAACTGGATAACTTGAGTTGTGACCTGCAGCAATTCCATCTCTTATGATCCCCATACAGGAAAGCAGGCAAATTAAAACACTATTCCCCTCTTTTAAAACACTAAGGGCAGGTCTACACTATAGCTTAAGTTGATATAACTTATGTAGCTCAGGGGTGTGAAAAAGCCCACTCCCACCTCAAGCAACACAAGTTTTGCACTGTCCACCCGGTGCTATGTTGGCAGGAGACGCTCTCCCATCAGCATAGTGTGTCTTCAGCAGACACGCTACGGCAGGGCAGCTGTGCTGATGTAGCATTGTAGTGTAGCCTTGCCCTAAGTATCCTCAGAATTCTCCCTAGTTTTCAGATGTTGAGGGCGAGGGGAGGGGGGGGGGGGGGGGGGGAGAGAGTA